CCAATACAGCCCAGAACCTGTTTCTTATGTGCTGAAAACACTTCAGAGTTTCTTGGCATGAAAATCCATCTCTGTGTGTCTGGGCCTGTCTCCCTCAACCTCACCACCAAACCTTCTTTCTCCCTGCTGCTGGCTACAGACTCCTGCTGCTCCTGTGAGCAGATATCAGCCACACCATTGCTCTCCTCAATGGGTACCATTGACCAAGTGGGTCAAGAAGCCCTGCTGATCTGCCCTGGCATCCCAGGTGCTGTGGGGACGGACTGGTGCTACTCTGGGTCCTGCTGTAACCCCAGCCATTGGCAAAGTCTGCCTCCAAGGGTGACAAACAGGGCATGAAATGCTGAGCCTAAGGCAGACGATCAACAGCTCAAGGAGGCCCCACTAAACACCTTGCCAAAATGCCTGTCTGTCAAACCTCCTGACAGCAGAAACAGCTGCTCTATCTGGTATGTTCCCCAGGTCCCAGCTGCTGCTGCCATGGCCATGGGCAGACAAACACATTGTCATTCCTACCAATGCAAGACCCCTTTTGTGGCCTAGGACTCTTCCCCGTTGTTTTTCAGCCATCCTTGTCATCTCACATCGTTATGACATCTTTTCTGAAGTCCCTGAGACAAACTCAGTAAACCCCTACCTCGTTCTTGCTGCTTGCGGTTTTCAATGATGCCCGGCGTGTCCACGAAGGTGACGCGCTCCAGCAGTTTGTGAGGCACCTCGATCCCTATCAGCTTCTCCAAGAAGTTCTGCCCAAACTTCTCCAGGGGCGAGAAGGAGCGGGCACTGTCAGCAGCCATCACGATGCCCTCAATGGTCTTCAGCTTGGGGCCATGCATGATGACAGTGAATTCGGAGGTGGTGGGTTCTGCCCCTGCCCAGCAACAAGAAGAGCAGCAGAGCTGTGAAATCCATGCTTGGCAATGGACATGACAGGGCTGGCCTTGGACTGGCCGGGGAGCTCAGGAGCATCGCTCGCTTGCCAAGAGATGCTAGGGGAAGGCAAGCAGTGGGCCATGAAATTCTTGCCAAACCTCTTGAGAAAACACCAGCAAGGCTGTTTTCTGCAGGGACTGGTTGTTCTGGAAGTGGCCTGGCTGCACAAGGCGCTCTGAGAACCACCTCCTGGGAGGTCTCATTACCACAGCGCAGAGCTGGCCATGGACATCTGTCCTCAGCAGTGAGATGACATCCATGGGAGCAGGGAGGAGGGAAGGGGAAGGGCTTTTCTCCTTGGAGGGTGAATTAATTGTCTCCCTGTGAGGAGGGTACGGGAGAAGACAAGTGTGAGTTCTCCTTGTGATGTGACCACTGCTTTCGTGGTCAGGATCAGAGGCGATGAGCCCTGCACTGTGGGATGGGGATGCTGTGAGGTGAGATACCCTCTTCTTCCCCGGGGAGGGTGGACAGGCTCTGGGCTGTGGTGAGTAGCCTCTCCCTCCACATGGCACCGCAGCTGGATGGAACAGACCACATAACAAACTCTCTGCTGTAATGAGGGGGATTGAAGAGATGTGGCTGAGCATTGCTGGCTGCAGAGATGTGGAAATGCAGGTGCCAGCATGCCCTTGGCAGAGCAGGGAGGGACTGGCGAGTGGGTACCTGTGTAGAGCTGGTAGGGAGTGTCATCCAGCCCGAGGAGGTAGTTTATCATGGAGGATTTGCCGACGCTCCACGGTCCCAGGAATAGCACCATTGGCTTGGAAGTGATCTCCCCATCTGCGGAGAGGGGAAATAACAAGAGGAAGTGAAGGAACAATAGCTGCCGCCGCTGTGTGATTAACTCCCGGCTGTAACGAGCATCCCATCTGAGCGGCGCAGCAGTGGTGCTGGGGAAACAGCCACCCTTTTGGGCCGTCAGCCATTCGCCAGCCAAGGCATCGCCCAGTGACGGGCCCTGGTGTCTGCAGGAGCGGGATGTCACCATGCGCTGTGGGAGACTCCACCTCACTTGTCTGGCCTTCTCTGAGGTTGTGCCCTTCTTAGACTACAGGAAGACTTGAAGGTCTTTTAAGTCTTGTCTCAGCTTGGTTCTGGTTTAGCTGGAGTGAGTTCGAGGATGGCTGCAGGGCAAGGTTTGTTTGAAGGCAGCCACCACGAAGCATGGGACATGCAAAGAAGGTGGCCATGCTGCAACTGGGTGAATGCCTTGTGCAAAGGGAGCTGGCATGGTTTAAAGAGCAACACTATGGCATGGTGCTTGGTAAGCGTGGTGCGAGCCGTGGGCCAGCTGCCTGCATTGCATTTCTACCATACCCTCCCAGGTTTTTGTCCTGGGTCATTGCTCCCAGCCCTCTGGTCGAGTAGAAGGTCCCTGCCTATGTGTGGGCTGGGTATAAGGCTCCAGCCTGGTGTGGGGAGGGTAGGCTGGGCCAATGGCTCCACTTTGGGCCTGGGGAAAGGCAGGAGAAGAAGGAAATACAGTTCCCATCCTCCACTCTTCAAGTCCTGCAGTTGCTAAGGGAGTCAAGGAGGCTGGTGATGGACCCATAAGGACCTGTCCCTGTGCCACACAATCAGTCCAGTAGCATGGAGGTCCCTTGGCCAGAGGAATTGGGAGTTACTGTCCCTCAAGCAGAGCTGAGTCTTCCCCCATGACCCCATGACCCAGGATGAGGAGATGCCCTTGAGGGACCCAAGCTGCCCTTGGCACCCTCCCTGCAGTGGCTGACAGACCCTGCTGCTTCATGACTGCCACCCACACAGGAGCCAGTAGCTTTCCAGCAAGCTGGGGATCCACCTCCAAGACGGGCGAGCTGCAAAGCTCACATGGTGCTGAGCTCCCACTCCCGAGGGTGCTGGAGGGCACTGCATGGCGGCTCCACACCAAACCCATCCAACCATGGGTGTGGGATTTGGGCAGTGTGCCAGTCTCCTCCTGCCTGCATCTGCCCATCACAGAGCCACCATGTCACTGTTGGGGATGGGAATGAGCTGGAGGCATCTCTTTACAGTCGCATCCATGCAGTTCGACTCTTCTCCAAAGCAGGGCAGCCACATCCAAACCAGGGGGAAAAGCCCTGCCTGCTCCCCGCTCCCTGCCTGCAAGCCGTGGGGATGCCACGTTGTCTTCTCACACAGAACAAAAACAGATGTTGAAACCCTGGACTTTCATTATTAATCATTCCTCTGTGCCACTCTGCTCTGTTCGCTTGCTGGCTTTAATTGGGTTTCAGATTATTGTTATTATTATTATCCCCTGTGATGCTGTGCCAGAGGTTTGAGGCGGGTCCCCGCGGGCTGTTTTGTAAGACGTTCCTGGCCAGGTGTGCCTGTGTGAACACCGACAGCCCGGGCCCCTGCTCCACTTCATGTCCCCACCTGTGCCCCAATGCAGGCATCTCCCCTGCCAGGTCACCCACAGCTCATGGAGCCCACCTCTACCTCTTGCTTTGGAACAGGGTGCTGGCACCCCATGGACTTTGTGGGCAGTGCCAGGCACAGGATCCTTGCAACTCACCGGGTAGCCGAGCAGCTCCAAGGATGTGGGGCCATGCATGGGTCCTCCTTGCTGCTGCCCAGGGGCTGGGAGAACAGAGAGCATCTCCCACCTGGGAGGGTGCTGACCTGGCATCTGTCCCTGCTACATCGCCCCACCAAGTCTGTCCAGCACAGATTTGGGTCACTTTGATGGTTTAGCCAGGGGAAAAGAACCAGTCCCTGCCGGCTGCAGCGTAGGGATGGTGGCAGCTCCATCACAGCAGCTCTCTCCAGCCACCCTGTGGCTGCTCGCTCCCAGCTCCTCATCCCGGCTCAACCTCATCCCAGCTCAACCTCATCCCAGCTTAAGCCAGGCACATCCTGGTGACATTCCCAGAAGCAGGGGGCTCCTCAAACCTTGCACCCCTTCCTCTGTGGTCCTGCTTAAAACACAGCAGCTTAAAACACAGCTGCCAGGTTTGCAGGGTAAAGAGTGTGCTATGATCCAGCAGAGCAACTGGAAAAGGCAGCCAGGAAGGTCAAGTCTCCCTCCACAGAGCCCGTGTTTGTCTTGGGCTGTTCAGCTCTGCGGGTAAGAGCCCAAAAAGGGTTTTTTTCCTAGAGCAGTGACTTTCTGAGAGGTTTTTCCATGTTGCTTGCAATGCCAGGGTGCCTTTGGGTGGGAGCACTGCTGCGCTGGAGCTGCGATTAACCCTGGGCCAGGTCTTCTCTCTCCTTGTCCTCAAGCCCAGCTCACCACCCCATGTTGGCCCACCCATCATTCAGCAAATCTGTCCTGAGGATGCTCAGCAAAGCAGAGGACACAGCAAAACCTCCTTCCTCTCCTTATTCAGACTGAGCCATAGGCATGAAGGTCTTGCTCTGTCCTCAAACAACCTGGGAAGGCTAAAACACCAGGGGAGACTCTCCCAGCATCACCCATGCTGCCACCTCATCTCTGTACCTCAAACACTGCCCTCCACTCTGCCTGCAGCATGGATGTGGTGCTCGGCAGCCCTTCAGGGGCTGGCCAGCTTGCTCACGAAAAGCCATGAGCGTCCACATGGCACGCATGCCCACAGACAGAAGGACAAGCCACATGTGCCCATAGAGAGAGGGACAAGCCACGTGTGGCTGCAGACTGCCCATGCCTGCCTCCATGTTGCACCCCCTGTGCGCGTACGCCCACACAAGAAGAACACTCGCACGCGTGTTTGTACCTGCAGCTAGAGATGCAGATAAGACAGCTATCAAAATACACTATATATATCTACAACCCCCTCCGCTGCTGGCATGCTGGCATGACAGGGAGCCAGAGGCCCTCCAGGCACTGCCAGGGCTCTGCCACGTCCAGGACTGGGGTGTAGAGGAGCCCATTTTGGCAGGATTTGGCAGTGGGGGCCATGGGGTAGGACACGAGGGCCAGAAGATGGGATTTCCCTGCTTCATATCGCAACAGGGATATTGTCCCCATGGTCCAGCACCAGACCCAGGGTGGGGGCTGGGTGTGGACTGGCGCTCCTTGGCTCATCTCCCATCTCCTGCTTCTCTGCGGGGGACCTGGCAGCACACCCTGAGAGGGACAGGCAGGGAGAGGAGCCAGCTCTGGCTCCCGAGGGGGCTGAGGCCACCGAGCAGGACCAGCCTGTGCTACTGGGACAGCTGCTGTGGGCTCATCGGCTTAAACTGCAGCCGGAGGGGATCAGGGGTGGACATTCGGGAAAGTATCTGCATCTAGGAGGGTGCAGAGTGGGAAGAGCTCCCCTGCAGGGTGAGCTATCTTCTGGTCTCCTCCACTTCATGCTGTGGGTGGGAGATTGACCTGCAGGTCCACCACAAACGCCTTCGAGCCATGGCTAGAGGAATATGTGGCCTCTTGAGCCTTAACCCAAGAAAGGTGTCAAAGCCCAGCCAAGGTGAGGATGCACAGAGTCAGGCCTAGGACAGACAAGTGCAGCGACACGTGTGATGAGCTCTGCTGAGACTGGGGACACTGGGTCCAGCGGATGCCATGGGATGCCAATAACTGGGATCTACTTGGTGCCTGGCAAGTGTGGCCCTGTTGGGGCCAGTGAATAGGAAAGCTGCAGGCCAGTCAAGAGCTTAGGCAGTGCTGGCAGCATGCAGGTAGCAGGCAGCAATACCAACCTGTGGCGGAGGAGCCCAGGGTGCGTCCGGGGTAAGCTGTTAGCAAGGGACACGGTGAGAGAGAAAAGGTACCGTGAGTGGAAGGAGAGATGCGGCTGCCTGGGTCTGGCCCAAGCTGAGGAGGGAGCTGAAGACTGGCCCTGGCCTTCTCATGGGCAGGAAAAGCCAGCAACGGCTTCATTCCCAGCAGGAGAGAAAGAGCTACAGTCTGTGAGCAACAGGACCTGCAGCTACCGGGACAAGCACTGGACTCCAGTCTACCCTGCACACTGGGGATGTGGCTTGGGGGAGCAGCCCCAGGAGAGCTGCCACATCTGAGAGAGCACCCCAACCCTCCTGCCCCACTTAGCAGAGTTATCGCCTTCCCCAGCAACATTCACCGAGCAAATGGAGCTCAACAAGCCATGGTTAGGACAGCAACCAACCCTGACAAGTGTCCTGACCACCTCCATGGTGTGGTTACCCGTATCCAGCCTAGGATGGCTGGTCATGGTAACTGGGAGGTCATTCCCTATACAGGGACACTTGCTAATGGGCACACATACAGTAATTAAGGGCACCAGCATGCACCACAAACTGGCATGACTTCACAGCAAGCTTCCCATCAGCACACTGGGAGAGTCCCTCACCCCTGAGCTGAGGACAGTCCCTATAGGGTGGCCCTGCTGTGACCAAGGACACAAGCAGCACCCACAGGGGATGGCAGAGCAGAGACAAGGGAGGGTGGCAGGCAGGGAAAAGGCAATGGCACCTGCCAGGTTTAAACACGCTGTAAGCAGAGGATGTGGGGTGAGTTTTTCGGGATGCACCCAGACAATTCAGAGTCTTAGGTTGACAGTGGCAGTCACAGCTTCCCCTGGATGGGTGACAATTACACGGGTGTTTTCGTGAGCTGTAGGGAACAGAGGGGCTCCTTGGATTACCCCTGTTGGTGTATGCTAGCAGAGCCGATGGAAAGGGAGACAAAATGGAGGTCTGCTGTGTAATGGAGGGGCGAAGGTGCTTGCGATGGCACCCCTCTATATTGGCTTACACCTCCAAAGGTCATTCATATTCCATGACAGGCCTGCCCCGCCGCTCTCCAGCTGTCCCACTGCTCTGGCCAGCTGAGCCAGCAGCTCTGTGCCCTCCAGCCTCTCCCTGCCATGGGGGGTGGGCACGGGCAGAGGTCAAGGGCAGCTCCCAGTCTGTGGGGGCACCACCAGTGCAATGAACCTGCTCAGGACAGGGGCACCAGACAGAGGAAGCAGCTGAAAAGGCTCCCTCAACCTCACCACATCCTAACCTACCTTGCAAGGTCAAGAGGGCTCCCTGGGCCAATTCTCTAGGTAACGTGCAGGATTCTCTAATTACATTGCTAATGAGGGACTGGGAAAAGCTGGATCTGTGGGTATTAAAGGCAAATTGCTGGGCTTTAGGTTTCTAGGGTGGGATGTTTGAGATGCTTCAGGGAGTCTGGTGGCAGAAGAAACATTTCTGATGGCTTTTCACAGCTGAGTCAGGGGTTGCAGGCAGCGTAGGAGCCATGTGCCTGTCCCTTAGGGCTAGGAGGTTGTAACTGGACATTACCAGCTCTGGGAGGGTGCTGTGTAGGATACAATAGGGTATGCTGGGAACTGACCTGTGGGACTGTCAGCCTGAGGGATGATTATTCCTCGTGGTGAAATAGAAAAGACCATGGAGCATTATGAGAGGAGACTGTGAGGAGCACCAGAAGCTGCTGTCTGTAGTGAATCCTGCTCCAGAGCTGGGACTGAGAGGGGCCTTGGGTTGGGGAATACACAAGGGTGGGTGGTTGTTTCCTCTGGAGCTGGGAGGGAGGAAGCCAGCAGGAGCCTGAGAACGAAGTGGGGAGGTGGCTGCTTGGGTGTGGGATGGCTGAAGGGTAGGGTGGGATGTCCTGAGCAAGGAAATGGGCTGTGCACTGGGAACTGAGGTTGGGGGCTGCATCCTCTGGCAGTGAACAGCAACGCAAGGGTTAGAGGCTGGGAGCCCAGCATCTGCCCCTGTAACCCCAAATGTTCTCCCAAACAGTGTCCCAGGATGAGCAGGCACCAATGCAGACCAAAGTAGCTTAGAGAGGAGATTGGGGTGTTACTGAATCAGAGCTCCAGGATGGAGATAGCTGGGACAGGACATGGCTGTGGTGGTGGTCCTTCCCCAGGCACGTGGCAACGCTGTGCTAGGTGCATGAGGGAGGGGACAGGCCAGCACAGAGTGGGTGACAGCAGCTGTGGGGTGAGGGTCCACAGGTCACCCTTCCTGTGCTGGCTGTGGGATGGTATGTTGCTGTGACTCTCCCAGATGGCAAGCAGATCATGGTCCCCCAGGCACAGAGGGAGACAGAGCTGGCTGCAGGAGACAGCTGGACACGGCTTGTGTTTCACGAGACCTACAAATGCACCCCTGTGGTGGTGGATGGCACCCAGGGGATGAGGAAACAGGACCTGGGCTGGCAGTAAAAGCTGCAGCCCTGTCCCTGCCCCATGGGTCCTGCATGATCTTCACTGGCTCAAAGCTGGAAATGAGCTGGCTGGGCATGGGAGATGTTCAAACTTGCTTACAGAACACTGGATGGTGATTTAGGAGTTGCATTTGGGTTGCAGTGCAGGTGTTTGTAAAAGAGAGGTTCTGCTCTAAGGGGATCTGTCCCAGGGGTTTACCCAAACGAATGTAGGACTTATGCTGGTGGAGCAGAGACCAGCTGCAAAAGGAAGGCCTGTGTGGAGGGTGTATCTGGGTCCTGTCCCACCAGGAGGGAGGGCATGGCTCCAGGGTGCGTGAGGGCTGGCAACCCAGGGAAGGAGGCAGAACTTCTGGACAGGGAGGGACCCTGGCAGGAGGCTGATGGGGACATGCTTGGGAGGGCTTAAGCCAACTTGGAAAATGGGTCTCCTTGTGTCATACGGGTCACAGAAGCTTCCTGTAGTTTGGGGGCGTCTTGGGACCAGGGCTGCACTTTTCTCTTCTGGAGGGACACGTATACCACTGGGGCTCAGCCCAAGCCAAAGCCTGTGGCCATGGGGACCTGCTCACCTGATCCAATGTGTTTGCAATTGCCAAGGGGTGGAAACTCTAACTCCCAGGGTGAGTGAAGGCTGCTGAGCTCAAGGGATACCCTGCCCACGTGTCCCGTGCTGAGCAGAAAGGATGCCAGCTCCAGCCAACCCCCGGAAGCTCATCCCCAGCCTTGAGAGGTCCTAAGCTTTCTTGCCAAGCCTGTTCCGTTGGGCCATGATCTCTGCTTGGCAGGGGTACAGGGCATTGATGTTGAGCAGGTGGAGGACCCGAAGCAGGCAGGGTTCAATGTTTGGCCTACATAGATGGTCCTGACAGCAGATGGGCTAGGGCAGATGCAGGCATGCC